GGACGGAAGAATCAGCTGGGCTGCGCGAGATACCACATGATGGAGCAAAGACGCAGACTTTTGTAACTACGCTATCCACGTCCAGATATGACTACAGAGCTCGATCAAAAGAAAATAAGGGTTGCCTTTCAGTGCAAAAAAAAGAATGAAGCAAAGGAAGAACAGCCCAGATAAGCAGAATACGCATACGGACTGAACGTATTCCTTGATTTGTGGCCAATTCGAACATAGAACATCATAATGGAAGTGTACGCTTGGGTATAAAAATGTGCGTAAATGATTATCAGCTTGACAGTAGGAGACTCTCGAACCATTAAATTATCGCTAAAAGAAAAAAAGATTTAAATAGAAAATCGCATACCCGCTTGAACTCGCTCATGTTCACTCCACTTAGAGGAGTACCAAAAATCTTCAACTGCTCAATTTCAGTGACCTAAACTGCAACAGTTTCAACTTCAAAAGTCTGAAATTCAAGGAGCACCAATAACAATAACGGACATCACCGCCGCCAAGATTATTCTCAACAAAAAGCTGAATATTGTTGACATTTTGGAACTTCACGTACTTCAACTGCAGCAACTCAGGCTCTGAAAAGCTATTATTAATTGGATAAATAGTGAAAGCATAAAAATACAAGAAGAAGCTAAGGAAAAATACTAATTTAATATCAGAATGAAAATTAATATGAAAGAAATTCAAGCATAGGCAAAATGAGAATTCGGCGCTCATGTCATTAGGGAGGACATTGAAATGAGCGAGCTACTTACAGAACTTGGGACTGAAGTTTGAGAGGAAAAGGGATTCCTTAGAGAGGACGTGAGCAACCTTTGGTCTCCCTGGCGTTTCTCCCCGCTCCTTGGCTTAGCCCTAGTGTCACCACACCAGCGGTTTTGGGATGCCTTGCTTTGAATCCCCCCCCCCCTAAGGCCATGAGCACCATAAATCTCTCATAAAGTGCTGTCTAACCATTAGAACACTACTTGTGACGTTTCAAAGGACCGAATGTATACCATCAATGGAAAACTCACCACTCTGTGCTTTTTCGCTGAACTCTAGTACTTGAACCGCTTCCACTGAAGAGGCGCCGTCAAAGTCAAGAGTTTTAGGGAGATTTGAGAAAATGCGAACGTTTTTCGTGTTTTCGCATCAGTACCCTGGAATGT